TAAACTATTTCCAAACGCCTACACGAGATGGAGAGAATTCAGAAAGAAAGAAGTTCGCATCAGTTTCGCATGAACTCACTGAAGCTCACAAAAATCAACGAGTGGCAGTGTGTCTCTCCTCTCAATAAACAGCGTGGAAAGTTTTTCTCGTGGCAAATTGTTACGGGCGATGAGAAGTGGGTATGATAATCCGAAACGCAGAAAGTCATGGATAAATCCCGGCGTACCATCAACATCGATCGCAAAGCACTTTGGCAAGAAGATTCTGCTCTGTATTTGGTGGGATATGAAGGGCGCGATTTATTATGAGCTATTAAAACAGAATGAAACGATTATTGCGAACCGTTACCAACATCAATTAACCCATTAAGGCCCATCCGTAAACCAGTAGAGATATAAAAAAGTAACTATTGGGTTTCTGGCATGGGTTCTAGCAATGATTATTGGTTCTTCGAATTGGTTGAAGAAAAAGTTTTTTAAATAAATAGTTGTAAACAAATTAAGAAAAATTAATTTTTCTTCATTTCTTTACAACAATTACTTTTTTCGTATCTCTACTGGTCTAAGGATGGGCCTTAATGGGTTAATCCGTTTGAGTCAAGAATTAGAACGAAAACACCCGTATAGTGGCAAAGGAGAACATGTCCTGTGAAATTGTTGCATGATAACGCTAAGCCATACATTGCTTCTACGACAAAAGACGTCATAATGAGTCTTGGCTGGGACGTCTTGAAGCACCTGTTGGCGTATTCACCAGACATCGCTCCTACCGATTAGCAAGCACTTGTTCCGGTCGAGGCAACATGCCTTGTTCGATAGACACTTTAACCCTTTAACGCCCGACTTTTTTATAAGTATTTTAAGAACAAAATTTGAGTTTTTTTGAACTGAGACTATAAGTAGTGATAACAAAAAAAAATATCAGAATTTTATATTGGTTCTTTTTATCATTCGGTTTTTGTTTATTGGTAAATATGACTTGGATCCTAAAAGCATATACGAAATGAGCAACTTATACAGAGAAAAATGAAGGGTAATCTATGCGACATAACTCTGATAGTCAGCTTGACATTTTTGAGCTGAAACTTTACTATATTTGTGAGTGAAGTTTATCATTCGGAGCGTCAAGCTTACTATTTCAGAAAAATATCTTATAGATCACCATTTAGATAGTCAATCGTCCCTTCATTTTTCGCCGCATAAAAAACTCAGGTAGGTCAGCAGATTTCACGAAAATAGGTTGGTTTCTTGATTTTCGTGTCCATCATATTGGATTCGTCATTTTGAATTTCTCTATTATTTTAATTTCACATTTTGCATCTGAGAAAGCTTCCAAATATATAAAATTATAACGGATACCAATCTACTCATTTATAGTGTACTTCTAGATGTCAGTAACAATGCTAACTAATTTGACAAAACATGTTATCATTAAAACTGAGCTAAAAATAGACTAAACCGAATCTACATACAATCTATATATCATTTTTTAGAAGAAGAATTCACGTTTACAGTGGTGCAAAGAAAACGAAATATCTCCTTTTTTAACCAAGTTACGGATTCTTAAATGCGTTTCTGGTAATTATAGTTACCAGTAGGCGTTAAAAGGTTAAATCAGTGAATGAGCTTCGAAGATAGCTTGACAACTTTATCGTGTCCAAAGACATGACATTTTTCCGACATGAAATTCATCAGCTGCCTGAAGGATGGCTTAAAGTTGTGGAAAACAACGGCGAATACTTTGATCGTCAAATTTGTTTTACTTTCTTTTCAAATAAACCTTGAAGTTAGCTGAAAAATCTGGATTATTCATTTGTACACCCACGGTAATCGATTCTGTCTCTTCGAAATTTTCACAAACTGAGAAGTGACTACGTTTCTACACTACTCATTAACAAAATAACTAAAACTTATGCTCGCTTATGAAGGATTGAGGCCTGGTCTACAATACGTGTCGTAAGTTGTAAGCCGTAAGAAGTGGCTAATTATAGTCGGTTATTTTTATAATAATTGACTGTGATTCGCCAATTCTTACGGCTTACAACTTACGACACGTATTGTAGACCAGGCCTCAATCCTCCATAAACGAGCGTAGGTTTTAGTTATTTTATTAATCGTGCATGGACTGCGAGTAGTGTAGAAACGTAGTCACTTCTCAGTTTGTGAAAAATTCCAAGGGACGGAATCGATTACCGTGGATGTACACCTAATAATACGCCTTTGGCGCGAATGTGGTGTAACGAAGGGAACGAAAAATTTAATCGCTCGAAATACGTGTAGCGCGTGGATGGTGGCTGGTAAACAACGCGCGGCGCACGGAGACAAATGCGCGACGGCGGCAACAAAGTATCGGCTATCGAATATTATTGGATAACGAAAATAAAGTACGTCTCGCCCCTGGTTGGTTATCGCTCGATCGCGATATCGTTTTCGCGCGGCGCTATAAATAATTAAGAATAAATGAGGGGCGCGACGCGTCGCGCACTCGTGCCTCGTTCGCAAAGCGCGCCCGGCGCGACGCGCGGCAGTTTCGCGGCTCTTATTTTCTTTCCGCCGCGAGCACGCCGATATGAACAAGAAAATAAACCGGGCGTGTCGGCAAGTCGACACCGGGCGATTTATTTGTTTTTCATAAGGCGTGTCGATCTATTCCTGCGCTCGCGCGTACTTTGGCAGAAAAAAAGAACGAACCTCCCACTCCGCGACTTCCGGGACGCGTTGCCTTTCCTTTCGCCTGTTGAAATCGCGACTCGCCGAGGGATATTGTCGACTGATCGTTTCGTCGCGTTTCGCGTATATTTGTACCTGGAATTTAATAATTCCATCTTTGCGGAATCAAGCGCAACGGACGCGCTCGCCTCGGCACCGCCATTAATGTGATATTTCGTCAATGTGAAATTACGTGTGATAAAACGTAAAACGCGCGACAATATCTCGCGTAATAATCGTAAATTGAATAACTACGATGTCGATGCTACGAGGTCGGGGCCGGTTTTAATAACGCGGAATTTCATAATATTTTGTACCTCGCCTCGCGCGTATACCGAATAATCGCCGCTTCTCCGATGTTTCGAGCGCCCATAAAAGCCACTTGACGCGACTCGGCACGCCGGATTTCCCGACAAGAGCGACGAAAGAGCCAAACACTTGCTCGCGCAGCACGAGCTATAAGCTAAATATCAACCAATCATCAACAGCGGCAACATTGGTCAATGAGTCACTTCGCTATAAAACTGTCCGCGATGGAAAAAACAAAAATGTGGGAAAGGAGCCGTCATTTCCAGCGCGCGCGGAGCAATAATCGCGAGCGGCGATTTTTACGGGCACCGAGGAACGCGCGCGTTTTCGTTCGGCCCGTGATGCCGAATTAAGCATCTTGAAGATAAACCCTGTGCTGCTGTGGTGCTGGTGATCCGTTCGGCCGATCGTCTCGTTTATTATTGAAACTGAGTTTAAGTCGAGAAACAGTCACGATCCAGATATCCGCTTAAATCCGGAGTATCGACCTGGTCTGAGGTCATTCCGCGGACGAGAGAGAGAAAGAGAGAGAGAGAGAGAGAGGGGGGGGGAGGAAGGAAGGAAGGGAGGAAATCGCCGTACGATTAATCCAGGTGCAAGGACCGTTTCGTGTCGATCGGTCATTAGCGCATCCAAAATAGCAACCGGCGTCTCTGCCTGCCTCTCGCATGTGCTCGCGCGTACATTAATTTTAGAACGCATTACGCGCTCCCGATTGCCCGAATAATAGCCGCCGTTACTCGCAAGTTTGCAAGTAGGTATTTCAAGTCTAAAAGATAACGCGGTGAATTATTCCACGTGTCTTACTCTCGCGAGAACCGCGACTGTCGCGGATGCGCCGACAACCCGAGTAAAATATTGTTAGGGACATCCTCATAAAGAATAAAACCCCGATAAAGTGAAAGTAGGATGTCCTAAATAGGAATGCCTCATTATTACTACATCAGCCCCTGAGATGGATCTTTTAGGGATACCTTGGGTTTTACGAAATAAGGCTTTGACAAGGAAAACTGATGAGGGCCTTAGAAGGATTTATTAGGAGTGCCTTGGATTTAATAAATAAGATTTTAATAGGGAAAATTGATAAGGGCCTTACCAGGATTTTTTTTAGGAATACCTTAGATTTTACGAAATAAGGCTTTAATAGGAAAAGTTGAGAAGGGCCTTGGAAGGATTTTTTAGGGATACCTTAGATCTAATAAATAAAGCTTTGATAGAAAAAGCTGAGAAAGGCCTTGAAAGGACTTTTTAGGATGCCTTAAATTTTACGAAATAACACTTTAGCACGAAAAACTGATGTGGGCTTTAGAAGGGTTTTTTAAGAGGATGCTTTATTTAGATGTAAAAAGTCAAGTTTTGTTATAAAAAATTAATAAGATCTGAAGCATAAAAATTGAAGCGAATAAAATTGTCATAATTTAATATTGTTTTAGTAGGTACGTTCTATTTCATTCTTTTAAAGATTTTTTTAATTATACCGCAATTAAAAATAAATTTTATTAGTTTTATTAGTTGCCATATTCATTAATCTCTACCAAGGATTTTTCTAGTATTGCCTTCGTTTTGATATAGAGTAAACTTTAATGAAAACAGTAGCAGGATTTTTATGTGTAAAGAGTGCTATATAGTATGCTATATATTTAAAATAAAAAATTCTTGTTGTATCCTAACAAGGTTATAAAGAAATAAAGAAATTACAGTCTAAATTTCTTGGAATGAAAAGAAGGAAAATTATTATTATTCAAGCAATAATAAAAATATTTCCTCATAAATCCCTCATAATATTGTCTTATAAGGACCCTCGTTAAACCATTTGTTACACATCTCGTAGAGCCCTTGACTTTCTATCCTTACTAAGGCCCGATTAATGTTAGAGAAAAATAATCAGACCCTTGTCAGAGCGCTATTAATTTTTCTACTCGCGAAGCGCGTCTCGAAGAGAAGATTCGAAAGATTTCATCCGTTCTGTTTCTCTTCTGCAGGTGATATGGAAATCTTGGCGTACTTCTTCGGACCGGTCGGAGTACTTCTGGCCATAAATCTTCTCTTTTTCGCCGTGACTGCTCGCGAATTAACATGCGGTCTCTGGAAAGGCGAATTCGTGAAGAGCACTACCGAGAGGTGAGTAAACATCCTGCCACTTTTCCCCACGGCTTGTCCTCCGCGAGAAGGAACGAGCGCGCGCGCGCGCCGCGTCGAGGAACTTGGACGTTCCATTTTCGCGGAAGCGATTGTTGCGCCGTGCAATCCGCGTGAATGCAGTTGGCGTTCGCGTGCGCCTGCTCGCCGATAACAAATTTCATCAGAGAGAGCACGCAGCGACGCGGCGCCTCGTTCGCCCTTCGCCGCGTCGTCGCTTGAAAAGGCGCTCTCTTTTACGCGCTGACAAAAAGCTCCTCCGCTCGACAAGTGCATCGTATTCACGACGTCGTTCTCTTCCTCGACGACGCCCGGGGGCGACAGTAACGAGTTTAATTTGCGCCTCTTTTCTCCTCTCGCCAGGCCGCGACGGAATTTAAATTGAATGTCACACGTTGCGTAAAGACTAATTACCTCGCGAGACCTCGGTACGTTAAGAAGCACGCCGCGATATTTACGTCGAGTATGCGAGAGAAGTCGGTTTACACGAATTTCTCAACACGTGCGTGAAGCAATTTGTTCAAAAAAAGAGATAGAGAGCGAGAGAGAGAGAGAGAGAGAGAGGGGAGGAGGAAAAACGCAATGGCATCGATCGAAAGGGGACAACTTGCCGGGATCATAGAGAACGTGAGTTTAATTGTATCTTCGTATACCCGCGAAACATGTGCGGGCGGAGGTCGACTCGCGCCGGTCGATTCATCGGTGGATTAACAAAGGCTCGTCCTGCAGTCTGGTCAGGTTAGCCGAGGCGGCACTAACGAGAGGCCGGCCGGCCGCTGATGGTTCCCCTAAATTCAGCCGAGCGACGGCCACGGTCCCGAGACTTGGCGCGGCGCAGCCGGCAGCGGCGGCCTTGCAGCGGCCGACCGATGGCGAATATGGCTTTCGCGCCGGGCATTCCACGGCGAAAAATAACGTTTTATTCGTCGACGGGCACAGCCGAGCCCGGCGCGGCGCGGCGCGACGCGACGGATCGGACGGCCCGTAAACATATCGCGCGGCCGCATCTCGCGGGACATCGGCCCGCGGCCCGAGCTTTGTCTTGGGCAAATATTTACGCCTGCTCCGTGGAAATTTATCCGGCTCGCGATCCGCAGTTTCCAGAAGATGGCTCGTGAAGACGGTGAAAAAGTAGCCGCCGTGGCCTCGCCACGCCGCGCCGCGCCGGCGAGATGAACGCCCGTAAAATTCCGGAATCCGCTCATCTTCGCGCCGAGGAGAAGACCGGCCGGCCGACGCGGCGGGATGTCCGATTAATCGATTCAATTGGACGACCAATTGCGCGATCTATTAAAAGATCGAACGTGCGACGACGACGACGACGACAACGACGACGATGCGCGAGCAAAGCCGCTCAGCGTCGGGAGATCGTCCGGCTGAGACGCGCTCGCGTTTTGTAACATACCTCTCGCGGGAGCAAAACCCGACGCGAGTCGACATCGATCCATCCCCTCGGCCAAATGAAAAAGTATACAAAGTACTGAAAACCATTTCGGGAAGGGGGAGAGAGGAGGAAGTGGACGCGGCGGGCGGAATGCTGCATCGCGCGCCCGTTACATCAGTTTTCCAGCGCGAATTAGAAGAAACGATTTCGCGACGTCCCGGGCGAGCCATCACGCGATCGCGGAAGCGCAGGCTCCGCTTCGATCACCGCTCGCCTTTCGGAAAAATCTCGAGCGAATCGATAGCGCGGAGCTATCGCGAAACACGCCTGACATCCGCACGCGAGTTATATATCCTTGCGAATATCCCGGAATTGTGCCAACGTTTCGCGTTTACAAGCCCATTTCCGACGCGCCGCGCCGCGCCGCGGAGCAACGATAATAAACGCCGCGGCGCGTTGCGCGGCCGAGAAACAGGAACGCCCGGCTCGTTTCGTGCGGAACGACACTTTCGGCGCGGAAACGGCGGGTTTTATTGGCCCGAGCGAAATGCCCGAGCGGTCCGACGCGCTTTTCCGACGCGCGGCAGCGCCGGGACTTTATTTTGGCGCGAAGGACGGCGCCTGGGCTCGTTGGATATCAAGGATAACTGGTCGCGCGAATGCGATAACGAAGGGACATTTGGCGATGCCGCAAAGGAGAGATCCTCCCGCGATGCCGACGATCTTATCGCTCGTTAATCCCGCGCGCACGGTTCTCTCTTAATCCCGCGAATTTAATTTCCAACTTCGGCTCTCTCTCTCTCTCTCGAATCGTGCAGAGAGAGAAAGAGAGAGAGAGGAAGAGAGAGAGAGCACGAGTTATATTTATATAACACGCCATAATTTTCATATATTTCTTGCTGAATTTTATCAAGGAGGATTTTGGCCCCTAAAAGCCACCGTTAAAGAAAATCACGTTAATGCTGTCATAGGTGAAATTTCATCCTGGTATTATATATTTCTTTTTTATTTTAGGAATGAATAAGGTAAAACCAAAAATGCAAATGTCTCGCTATTATCGAATATCAAGTGAAAAGTGGAGAAGTTATTACTTGCAGCGGATAATTTAACATTTAATAGGAACGAAACAAAATTCGCCCGGGGTGAAATTTCACCCGTGGTAGTCTGTAAAGGTTAGGTTAACAGACTCTTCGTCTCAGACTTCATTACGAAAGTATCAGATAGTCAAAAAGGTTGGCACGGTTTTGTGCATTAAAAATTAAATAAGGGCATAAATTTTCAGGCAAAATGTTACGTAAGTCTGGGATAGATGTGTATAGTTTTTTTTTTTTAATTGGAAATACACATCTGTATTATTGCGATAAATGATCAACAATATGTTAACACAGTCAACAGAGGATAATCTTTAAAGTAGAAAAAATTTTATGAAAACAAATTCATGGGACGCCAATAATAACGAAATATTCAAAATATTCTGTAAGGGACAGATGGTCATACGAAGGGATAGTTGAGCATACCCATAATAATGTAGAAATTTGTTAATCTTCATTTAATTTTTAGTATTTTACATCCTTTTATTAATTATTAAGATTAACTTTTCATTAATCCTTTTATTAATTATTAATAAGATAAAACATTTTTCCACAAGTTTCTTATAGAAATACTCGATTCGGACATTTTAAAAGAGTGAATAATCACAGACCACGAGGCCATGGGCACGACAAAGTTCCGCCAATTAACTCGCGCAAATCTGCGCTATATGATACACATAAACACGCGCGGCCGACAAGCTTCGACAAGATTCGACAACTCGTTGCATCGAACTCAAACGAAAAGCGCAGGAACTTTTTTGCTCACCTAATATTTAACGTCAAGAATTGAAGTACTTTTAATTAACGGCATCGATGTTTCTCCCTGGGAAATTTTTTCCCTCGCGAGAGGACACACACACACATACACAACTGTGGAATTATGTAATACAGTTGTCCTCGAGATATGTTTCGATATTTATAGGAAAACTCGCAGGGGGGACACGAGATGACAGACACGCACACACACAGGAAGAGCACTTTGTACGCGACATCGTGAGACGCTGCTGTGACAATCTCGCGCGGACGAAAATTCCGGAGAATTCAAATACCAAATATTTTTCACGCTTTTTCGGACTACGGTGAAAGGCATTTGACAGATTGTACTTTTCAGCGATTCGCACGGCAGCGAGAGCGGATGGCCCCGCGCGGGGGCGGATTCTTTTTATAGAGCGCAGACTCTCTCTCTCTTGGCGCGAAGGTTTATTTTATTGCCTTCCTGCCGACTGATATCAGGCAATCGTTATTTTCCATTCGCTCGTCGCCCCTTCGATCCGCTTATATCCCTTCCTCGCTCCCTCTCTCTCCCTCTCTCTCTCTCCCCCCTCCCTCCCTCCCTCCCTCCCTCTCTCTCTTTCTCTCTCTCCCCCTTTCTCTCTCTCTCTCTCTCGCTTTATACGAGATTGATATTGACGATCCAAATTCGCGATTTCGACACTGCTATTTACTCCGTCGTGACGTATTCGAATAACACGATACACGACCGTTGTCGGCAAAGGAAACGTAATAGCGTATGCAGATACATGCGCCGCGCGTATCCCGGCCTTCTCTCCCGTCCGTGTCCTCGTCCGACGCGGATTTCGTTCATCGCGTTACGCTTACACACAGTTTCTGCTATACCGCCGCTGCGAGGATAAATTACCTCGCGCGCGGAAACTTCCGCGTCGCTCGCGCGTTCGACGGCGCTCGCGAAAATAACAATGTTATTTTTGTCAGAGACATAGCTTACAGCGATCTTTAACTTTTCCTGTCGTCGGAACGATGAAACATGCCCCTCTCCCTCCTCTGCCCCCTCCCGCTCTCGTCGCGCGCTCGCATCGCTCGAAATATTCATTCGACATGAATTACAACACGCGCGATCGTCGCCGTCGCCGTCGCCGTCGCCGAATGGAACAACGTTGTGTCCGCACATTGTGCAGCGCCTACGAGACCGGAGGATATCAAAATTCAAATTCACGCGGCGCGTTATATACGCGTGAGCGTCGCGTTATTGCACACACATACACACGACGAACGGACACGCCCGGGTAATCGCGATAAACGCGAGGAATAATCGATTAATAAAAGTCACCGCTTCCGAGCGCCTCTCCTCTTCAGCGACCGGAGTGATATTTCATTACCATACGTGTCGGCGCGCAATTACGCGCGAGGTATGTTCGCCGAGATGAGCGGAGGGATGGGGAGGGGGAGGCGCGCCACTGTCCATCTTGCTCTCGCATCCGCGAAAAATGCCCCCCGCCCCTCCCGATGTGCGTGCGCGCCCCGTGCGTTGACATTTTAAAACGTCCACGTGCCTGGCCACGAGCGCGGCCAAATAGTCTCGGCGGCCGGGACGCAAATAAAGGCGGAGACGTCACGTCCGATTTGACAGGCGCGGGCGAGGCGAGGAAAGTCGGCTTGAATTATCCCCGCTGCCGACAAAAGGCGGCGGCGCGGCGGCTTGCGGCGCTTGCCGTAGGGGCATAAACGCAGTGAAACACACTCGCAATAACCGTCACCGGGAGGTGCTA